TTTCAAATACTGAGGTCCTGTCTGTTTAGTGGAGGCTGCTGACAGCACTTGAAGTCCCTGTGATGTTTTTTAGATCTTTTTGAGGGGTGGTCTTTATCAACGTTTTCCTTAATTCCTCTGAAGAACAGTGTGCTTTTTGTCAATTGCTAACTGTCCTTCATCTGAAAGATAGCTTTCTTTGATGGCCATGGTACTTTATCTCTCTCTCTCTCTATAGCGCTTGTGAAGTATATTGGGATTGCTCAGCATGGAAGTGACAGGGCAGAATATTTTTAGCAATAAAAGGCTGTGCTTGGAGGTATCTAGTTCGGTGAGGGCAAGCAATCCATCAGAATTGCTGCTGGTTCCCAAAGCACTTGCTAATGTTTGCCTCTAGTGTGCCTTGGTCCTGCTGGCTGCTCAGGCCCTGGCTGCCTGGTGCCTGGTCGTGCATCACCCTCCCCATTTCCTCAAGGGACTGTACGAGATGCGGGAGGTCTGACTGCTCCTGCTCCCGTCCCAATGCAGCTTTGCAGGTCTGCAGCCGCCTTCCCTCTCACCAGCAAGAGGCAGCCGGCACCTCTGTGTGCCCCAGAGCAGGGTGGACAGAGAACAATGTCCGCCAGCTCTCCATCTCTGCTGCCCTCACCGTTCCCATCTCCAGCTCTAGAACCAGCTGATGTTCAAAGGGCAGCACATACCAAATACTTCCTCACTTGGTGCTTTCCTTAATTAGTTACCTGTTTATCATCCAGGAAATGAAGCTGCAAATCTGAGGGTGATTGCAAAGTGTTTGGGTTTTGGCCAAGCAGGGCCAAACCCAGACTATGCAGTGGATTGCCAGCTAAGCAGAGAGCTGGTTTAAAGGTTAATCTCATTTCAAAAATAGAGGGAGGGAGATGCATTACAATGCTTCATTGGAAAAATGTCAAAAGCCATTAGCTGCTGGCTGAAATATATGAAAGGGAGCAGCACTAACTCTGCTGTTCATTTTGTGTTGAGGTGAAACGAAGCATTTTACCATTTACCTTTGGGAATTAAGATGCAACATGTTTTTAAGGTCAGTTCCTTTGTCAGAGGAATTCTCAGTAGAAATATGAAATAAGATTTGTTTTCCTTTGTACATACCCTTTCTCTCTAACATACCATATCATCTATTCACTTACATATGGCACAAGTGATATATACGTGTACATATGTGTACACGTATATATGTAGTGCACTAAACATCTGTGTATTTCACATGCACAATTTTCTTTGTCAATATGCTACATACATAATGTCTGTGTCCAGGGAGTAGCATGCCTGAAATAGTAACACCTGCCAACTAAAGCAGGTCGATTGGATGTATTCATACATTCCAACCTCCTGACCGATTTCAACTACTGCTATTTTTAACTTGCTGGGGGATATTTCTTTCTTATCTTTCACCTTGCAAAAATACATCCCTTCAAAAACTGAAAGAGAAAAGTTTCCATTTTGGACCTGCATGTATTTTTCTAGAGCTAAAATTTGCCTGGCTTAAAAATCTCAACTATCTTAAATTTCTACCGGACTAGAAATAACTTTTATTTCTTTGGAAAGGGGAGGTATGTAGCTTTTAAAAAGAGACAGGGCTTACATCTGGCTGGGAGAAGGACTTATATACTGGATTTCTAAATCATGGCATTTGTAAATGTTTTATTTACAAAAATGTTTTTATACTTAAGGGCTCCACTGCTCCTACTTGGGGTGACCTGCATATTGCAGAGCTCCATAAACTCATATTAAAATAGCCTTTCTACTGCCTGAGCCTGTATTTCATCAGTGGCTGCTGTCCATAAAGTGTGTGCGCATGACTAGGTCTGTGTGTGTGTATCCCTTCTCTCATGTGCTCTGCTACCTGGCCTTCTGCTCTGGATGCCGGTCCTTCCCGCACACCCCTGTCTCTTGCCTCCATGGCAGATGAGATGCTACTTGGTGGGAGCAGCTGGTTCCAGCTTTCCTGGGGTCTCACCTGTCAGCTGCAGCCATAGACCGGCTTGCTTATCTCTTCCCTTCGGAGAGTCTTCTGCCTTGGATGTGCAGACAGAGAGCAGTCCTTATTCTCAGCCTGGTTTTCCAGGCTTCCCGCACGTTTCCAACAAAAAGGAGGAAAGGGCTTTCGGCAGTCATACCTGCTGGCTAGTCTGCAATAGGGTGTGAGTTGGTTTGGGTATGGGCGTGGGCATATGTTGACATCTGTCAAATTAGAGAGATTGTGTGATGCAGAGTTCACACTGCCTTTGTGCCAGCTGCGGGAAGCAGACAACAGCTGATGCAGTGGCAGTGCCAGCTGGCCCCCACAGATACTATGTATGAACACAGCATTTTTAATCTGATTCTGGAAGCTTTTGTGCCACTAAACTCTGGCCTGAAATGTCTGACATTTCTTAAGCAAGGCCATTCAGTCTAGCTCAGCTAAGCCACCTTAATCAAGCACAGTATTTTATAAGGAATACTTCTTGAGGACCAGCAATTACCCATACATCTTAATACCATGGCAGGCATTGGAGCATCTCCAGCAGCTTACAGAGACTAAATATGACAAATAAATGTCATGAGTGATGAAGCCAGAGAGCAGCATGCCTGAGCTGAGGGATGCTCTCTATGCCCCACCAGGCTGAGGGGCTGGGCAGGGTTCCCAGGCTCCAGCCAGTACGACATTTCAGTATATGCTCACCTTTAAGTATCAAGTGTTGTCCCTGCCAAAGCAAGAGTCAGTTCATAGGTTTAAATCTCCTTGTGTGTATATAAGTGTTCCTGCTTCCACAGAAATACGTGGGTAATTCTGGATAATCTGTATCCAGGATGGTCCTTTACTGAAGGTAGTCATTACTAAGCCAAAGCTCTGAGAGTATACTTATATGCCCTTTTTATATATAAAATTTGACATTTGAAAGATGACATAACCAGCTATAAAATACAGAGGAAGAACAGAAATCACACCAGAGGATTTTACCATAGAAGGGTTACCACAGAGATGTACTATGCGAATGTGCTGAAAGATTTCCACTTCAATACAGAGCATGAAACACAGCTAGTGAAATAATTACCGACAATTAGCAAGTCAGCAAAGGGAAAATGTATTGTAGATAGTATTGCCATTTATAATTATCCATTGCAATCATTAATGACCTCTTTAAAAGGATTTCTGTTGTAAATCCCTTGAGAGTGGCACCAAAGAGTACAGTGTTGGTAGCTCACTCACCTTCCTCCCTCAGGAGCACGACTACGTAAAACCAGCAGGACAACATTGGCAACTGCTTGCTGCTTTATTCTTTCAGTGAAAGTGTTGTTTCCTTTGATTTAGAAGTCTTTGTTTAATGCTTGTGTATATATATTTTTTAATAATATGTTAGTCTTTGAGTTTCTTGGCTGTGTCCGTTAGGCTGCCTCTTCTGCTCTGCAGTGGGTCATACCATTAATCCGCCTTCAGGCATGGTGTCCCTTGTTGCATGGCATCATCTTTGTTTTCTCATTGACCTTGTGTTAACGAAGCGAGTGCTTCACAGTGTTTACAGTTGATATATTTTAATCTTGGATTGAGTGGTTCACATTTTTCCTCAGCTTTTAGGGAGACTAATAATTAATGTAATTGTCTTCAGAATGAAGTCTCAGCACCAACCCAGGATTGTTTCCGTAGCAAGGTTGAGTTGGTTAAAGTGCATTTATCCAAATCTCTGTTAAACTTAAAACTGTACTCATTGCTGAGAGGAAAAATCCAGGAGGGTGCTGGCTGGTCTCTGCAGGTAGAGATCGTGGCCTTTTGCTTTGGCAGGGCACAGATGCAAAATCCATTTCATGCCCCTGAAGTCAGAGCAGTGAGGCCACAGCTGGGCCCATCCTGACTCGCTGCTTCAGCTGCTTGAGTTTGCACGCTTTTGGGCTCCCACAGGCCACTGCCCGTGAGCCCCGCTCCCCTCTGACAGGCTATAAATATCTCTATATGTCTATTTTACTTTTGCTGTGCTGTTTGTATTTAGTGACAATTGAAACCGTAAGTGCTGGCCTGGTGTGGTGGCAATATGTGCATTTTTGTCAGTTTGAAAGCCTGGTGTAAGCTAATAAGCCGGCAAGTATGGCCCTGAGGCTGCAGCGCGGTTTCGCTGGCTGGTTTTTAAGCTGTTGGATAAAAGAGGGTCAAGAACCTGGCCCTTGCCTGGAGACTGGGATGTGTTTGCTCACATCTACACTGTGTAGGGCTTGCAGATTGGTCTGGAGAAGAGCTTGTGGAAGCAGTCTAAAATGAAACTTAGAAGCAAACTAAAAATGTATTTGTGTGGACAATCAGAAGGCCACTCCTCAGGCTCACTACCTACCTGCCTTTTTACATGCAACCCTGTGTGTGCAAAGTGATTGCTTCCTCTGCCTTGGTTTTTAGCAACTTTTGGGGGATCATGAATTTTTATAGATTACTCTTGACTTCTCTGAAGATCATCTTCGTAGTCTGACAGCTGCTAGGTATCTCAACGCTGCGAGGGGACACTGTTTTTTTTGTCAGCCATTTGGTTTTGCAGGCCAAGAGCTGTGAAGGCACCCAGTGAGTGAGATTTTTCAAAAAAAAAAAAAAAAAAAAATTTCTTTGCTGTACACTGCAAGAAATAACTAAGTCTGTTGTGATACAAGTGAGTGTAGTACAGATGCCTACATGTAACTATTTTCTGTGGGGCTTTTTTAAGGGAAGTGTTGGTGCAAAGGGGGGGTTATTTTTTTTGCTACCATTCTCTTACAGCTAGATAATTGTGTTTAATTAGGTAGGGGTTCATCCATACATTGCTAGATGTTTTAATTTTTGAGAATTTTGTAGGGATGTATTTTTTAAAATTACATTTCAAGAAAAGCTGTGATTTTTTAAGAGCTGTACTTTTTAAAAATACAAATGAGTGAAAAAACTAATTTCTTAACATGTGGTGCTAAACTGTCTAGCAGCTCTAGTATGTTCTGTCAAGCTAAAGGCCTATTTTTAGCCTGACTCTCTGCTATGCATGTTGTCATAACAGGTGCTTCATGAGACCATTTTCTTTGTTTATAGATGAGGTCTTGTCTGAAAACTTTTTGGACTACAAGAACCGTGGTGTCAATGGCTCTCACCGTGGTCAGATTATCTGGAAGATTGATGCCAGCTCTTACTTTGTGGAGCGTAAGTAGTTTTCCATCCCTGCTATGGTATAATTCAGTCACTGCAGAAAGATAATTGATCTGTTTGAGTTGTTCTTATGATGTTTTTGTGCCCAATATGTCCTTTAGGAAAGGCCAAAAATGTTACCAAAATCTTTGAATGTATTGAGAGAAATTGAAACATTTTATGGAGTAGAAAACCACAGTTTCTGCAAGCAAATAAATTTTGTGGACATTTACTTATTTACATATTATTTTTAAAAATACAATTATAAATATGTTTTTTAATCTATTTGCTGTTATTTAGACTATATCATTAATAATAAGCTGCATTAACTTTAATATGGTATTAAGGAGAAGAGGAACTCGGGGACATAATCTCACTCCAGGAAGATTTATGCTGACTTATAACTGGAAAACTTCATGATGCATCTGACTTCCACCAGATTCAGGTGGATTCAGAGGTAAAAAGGGTTCTGATCATCATCTAGACTGATAAAAGTATAACAATATGCACTTGCAGCAAGGTACACTGATTTCAAATTAATTGTACCTCATTATATTCATATATTATGTAGAGCTTCTGATGCAATGCACTGTAACTCTTTTCCACCGCCTTTGCAATCAAAATACAGAAACACTGCATTTGCTTCTGCAAAGTACTACGTACCTTGTACAGCAAGTTAACATGTCCAGGCTTGGCTGTCCCACGTCCCTGACCAAAGGGAACCTGACCATTAGAGTCCTTCCTCTTTTCAGAGAGTTACCAGGTGCTAGTGTGAATGGAATTCGTGATCATCTTGGAGAACAGAAATAGGGTACTCAAAAGACTGGACTGAGATCTATAGAAAAACATCTGTAGCAAAAGAGTTACGTGTGTCCTTAAGGAGGAGTTAAGCATGAAGAAGCCTAGCATTCAACAATTTCAGGTTTTCAATTGTACTGAATATTTCCAATGATCTACCTTAGCCTGCTGGGCAAAATTCAGAAGTTTTGTAGAAGTAAATATATGTTGCATGAAGTCAGGTCTATCTGTTTAAGACTGTCTGAATTTGAGAGCAATCGAGGGAATCCTTTGAATCCTAAATTCTAAAGGATTTGGAAAGGATATGTGTTATACTTGATGAGATTAATCTATGACTTTGACCTTAAGTATCTGGTATCAGCAAAGATGATACCTGCAGACATTTAATAGATACTTAGTTCTGGAAACTGGTTATCTCTTTGCAGTATGAAGCATTGCTGATAGTCTGTAATTTCTAGTATTAAGTTAAATTGAGAATGTTGTTCTAAAGAATTAAGGGAGCTGCTGAAATGTCTACAGAACATACAGGATGCTTATATCCTGTGTTTTGAAAAATACATTTATGGGAAATTGTTTAATATGTAAGAACATTGGGTTTAGTTATCCTGGTTTTGGGGTAGAAATATATTACAGGATCTAACCTTTAAAGCAGACTCTAATTCGCAGCTGATTCTTTGAGCTGTGGTTATTAATCCGCAAGACACAGCACACTTTCTTTTAGCTGTTAAAGTGTGGGGAGGAAATATAAAATCCTAGAACTGGGTTTTGAAGAGGCCTTAGCTTATGGAGGAAGGGTGGAAGTGGGATGGGGCTGCCAGCAGTTTTCCTACCTAATCCACAACAGAAAAGAAAGGTATAATGTGAGAGGTGTTTAGAAGAAAGCCTCTTCAGGTGGGCCACATTTCATTAAGGGCTCAACTGCACAATGAATTATGTCAGCTTAATAAGTTGCCCCATTAGCTGAGACATAGTAGCTGTTGTTAATTCTTCACTTGCCCTACTGTAAGAAAATGCAACTTAGCATAACCATCCTTCACTGATGCTTAAAAATAAGTCGTACGACACCGTAGTTGGGCAGCCCACACTTGATGAGTTGCTGTCTCCTGGTAATTTGTTATGCTGCCACCATTAGGTTGTGAATCTGAGCCCTGAGATTCTGTATCAGTGCACTCATCAAGGAGAAATCATTGCCCTGTCCAGAATGAAAATATGAGAAAATGAAGTAGGCAGTAGTAAATGACAGCACATGCGGATACTCTTAGAGCCACTTGACTACTGAAGTGGGAAGTTAAAGCAGTGAAAAATGTTGATGTATGAGAGTTGCATATACCTAAAGGCATATTTGAGGGTTCCTGCTCATTGTTGGGACTGATATATGAAAGTACAGAGTTTTGCAGTTGATTAAATGTTATGTTAAAAACTGAAGTGTCTGAAAGCCTCATGTATTTTCTATCCAAAGAGGATGTTGTGAACCACCTTCCTTCATACTTTTATTTTTTGGATATAGATTATATCTTGTGCATAAAGCACAATATGGTGACATTTGCAGGAATCAGAAAGATACTGGTTATCAAAATCAAACTCACCTAAGAAATCTGTTTTCTTTTTCTTACCATTCACTACAGAACTGAGAGAACCCAGAGGTCAGGGCAAGGGTATATTCAGTGGTAACGTGGTATAAGAATTGCCACGTCAGTCCAAAGTTAACCTGACCCAGTGTCTTGTCTCCAAAAATGTCCAATAGTGTAAACTTGAGGAGGGTATAAAGGTAAGCAAGTGTTAGTGAGTCTTCTAGCTAGAGTATTCTTAGCTTCTATTAATCTGTAGCTCAGGCACTTTGTGACGTAAGTAGTCTTTTTATTTAGTGCTTGTCAGGGCATACAGTAGGTAGCTAAGACCTGGTAACTTATTTTCAATGTATCCATATTGGTTTTTCTATGCATTATGTTATACTTTCCTTAACTTGCTATTGATTGGAGTCTTGCTGATTATAGCATTACTTCTCTATTAAACAGAGTAGCTCGCTTATGAAGGCAGCCCTTAATTTCTGCTTTTGCTTTTCCTGTAATTATCTCTACCTTGGTGTCTGTTCACCACATGAGTCAATATTGGCAAATTATCAACCACACAGTGCTTCAGAAAATGTTATGGTATACACTGTAGCATTTGGCCCATCATAGCTGGCAGGAGTCACGATAAAGGAGAAATCACGTTATGGCCAAATAAAGAATCAGCCTTACACAGAGAATTTAAAGTTCCCTAGAACTTAAGGCACCCCATGCAGATTCAGTTGGTTCCTGTTCTTGAAACGTATAAAGGCTTAACATTTTTGGTGGTGCTATTGTATGAGGTAAAATAGGCTTATTATTGGGGGACCATGGGGATCATCCTGTCCAACCTCAGAAGTCAAAGTTTTTCTTTTGCCAGCAGTTAGACTCTAGGACTCCCCACAGCGTGTTTTTTGTATGACATTTAAGGAAATTACCCTTACACTGTGACCAGCCAGCCACTTGGCATAAAGAGTTTAAAAAGACTTTTTTAACCTTTTTTTTTTTTATTAAAGGGCTATATGAGGGAACTTGAAAAAATCAAAGGTATTAAAGATTGGCTGATTTGCAACAGTGAAGTTTCCATTAATAGGAAAAAAGAAGCGTTAGGAATGAGGTCAAGTAAATAGTTATTACTCATTTTCTATATTTTGAATCTGGAGGCATATATAATGTGTTTGGGAGTATTTTGTTCAAAAGCCTTAATATTCTCCAATTTTTGAAAATTAACAAGCGAATGAAATATGACACTCTATGTAACCTGTAGTCATTATACATAAACCACCATTTAGGTACTTAACACAATACTGACATGTAATCACTGTAGATAGTAATTTGCATGCAATGGTCTGGAACCAGGAACAGGAGTGAGTAAAGGCAACAGTATCTGGAAGTTATTTTCTTCATGGTGGCAGATTATCACAACAGGAATCTTCTATCATATGCAGTTGTAGTGATAATTACTGGCAAAAAACCATCAACCTGGAGGACCACACTAGACAGAAATTGTGCACGTGCTGCCACTATGGGCAGAAGAAACTAGCAGTATTGTTAGAGATATTGTAGAGGTGCATCAGAAGTGGAGAACACAAAGGAAAGCATGACAAGAAATTGAAACCACTTTTTGTGTTAACTGTACTTCTTGTACCTTTATAAAACTGAAATTCTACAATTTCAGATGCTTCTCTGTTATTTAAGCTCTGCTTTTGCAGTATTCTCAGTGAGTTGCCCAGTCTGAGTCATTAAGGGTTACTTTTCTCAGTATATTTAAAATCTTACTGGGTGAAGAAAATGCTTTTTGTGTGATAGGTCAATGACAATGCAAAATAGTTTTCGCTTTTTGGAACATGCTTCTATGTTTTGGGGGTATTTGGGCAAAATACTTGTTGCTTTTGAATTTGCTGACAGCCTGGTTTGAGACCGTCTAGAGAGTCCTATCACTTTTGAAAACAAAGATAATTTCCTAACACATACCCATACAGTGTTTTCAGATACCACAGCCATTTAAACTTTGTGTTTGTTTTAGTGATCTACTTTTTCACCTTGAAAAGGACTAATATCTTTCCCAGAGAAGCGTATGCCTTTCCACTTTGCCTATCACAAACTTGCAATATAATGTTGCCAGACAGATATGTAATTGGTGTGAGCCAGAGAGGGAATTGCTTCCAAATTACAGCATGAGTGCCAACAGAACAGAACTCATCTCCTATTAATACCCAGCAAATAAAAAGCCTTAACAGCTGCCGAGGCTGTGATGCGCTACGGCCGGTTTTGCATTTCTGGAGAAGTCTAGCAATTTGGGTTTTTATGACAGCCAGTGATAAACAGTAGCCATCCACTGTAACCATGAAATGGTTGGGGTTTGGGGAGAGGAAGGAGGAGGGAAGAGAGGCTATGAGCCACTAGGGATGTGTACTTTATGTTAAGGCTTGGAGGGCACTGCAGTGAAAGAACCGGCCTAAAATGGGATTTCCAGGAAAGTAAACGTGCTCTGCTTCACTGCAATTTCTGGCACGCTTTTCTGGCTTATACAGCAATACAGAGAGAGAGTGTGCAAGGGACCATTTCACTGAGGTGCGATGCAGCATCTCCCTGTAAGCACAGTATCAAACTAGTGTATTCTTAGAATGATGAGAAAGGTTTTGATGCTATTCAGAATTGCACTGAAGA